CCTTATGCTGCGGATTGGACACCCCTGCTCTAGATTTTTTGCACTCTTCTCCTTGATGTCACAAGTCCTTAAATGAAGTAAGGTTCTCATAAACATTTTTTTATAAGTCAAATAACCATTTAAATGAACATATTTTTACATTTACATATTTTTAAATGAACATATTTTAGGGTAGGACAAACTGCTTTAATAATTTAATGACAGCAATGCTTCTATAAAAAAATATTGCCTAATTCCAATACTTTGTCAGTTTGTTTAGATTTTGTAACAATTATTAAGGAATGTAGTAACTGTTATAAAGTCTAAATTTTACAAAAATTAGATAACTAAAAAATAAATTGCCATTTTATTTTTTGCTTTAACAAACATTGTTGGAATGAAATGGGGACACTTTGTATTACAGTATATGTTGTATGAAATTGTGAATTTATTAAGTGGAATCCTTTAAGCAAACATTTCTAAGAATGACTATACTTTTGGTAATGTTATCAGAATGCATGACAGATGTTGCTTTGCAGTCTTTCACACACATTTTTAACAAATTGCATTCAAGAGCTGTCTGTTTTTAAGAGAAACGAATATATGAACGTAAATATGTTTGATGATCTAATGAATGCTTTTATACAGTTGACTGACTGATCAATGTAATGAATACAGCATACATATATATGTGACCATAGGGTCGGTATCTCTTTGATACCTCGTCAGGATGACACCACTGTATCCTTCGGTAGATACAGAGACCACAAGTTCGCGCGAGCGGATAGGTATGAGGGTTGGACCCGGAATGGAGAACTGAGAGGAAAACGGAAGAAACTGCACTCCAGAAGTTTTAAACATAAAAACCGTTTATTTATATCTGAGATGGCTTATTGGTAATAAAGACTCTGCAACTAATTCTCGAGTTGCCCGATGGGTTACCTTTTTTCAAGAATTCACCTTTGACATCAAACATAAAGCAGGAAGTAGTCATAAAAACGCAGATGCATTAAGTAGAATTCCTATTAGACAAATTTCTACTACCAATAACTTCGACCCAATTTACTCGAAGTCTCAAGTTAAAGAATTCCAAAGACGGGAGGAGAAATGGAATACCATTATTCAACACCTGGAAACCGAAGATCATTCAGATAAGGCACAACATTATTTCCTAGATGAAGAAGGAGTACTGTATCATCAACAACTCACCCCTCAAGGGAAACTTCTGGAACAATTAGTTGTTCCATCCATCCTCATTCCTTACATTTTACAAACTCATCATGATACACCTATAGGAGGTCACCTAGGATCGCAAAAGATGCAACAAAAACTTCAATCACTGTTTTACTGGCCTAC